AGGAGGCCCCGTCCCACCACCACCTCCTGCAATGTCCAGCCTCACGTCACCAGCAGCAGGAGGTCCCCGTCCCACCACCAGAATGTACAGCCCCTCGTCGTCACCAGCAGCAGGAGGCCCCGTCCCACCACCACAATGTCCAGCCCCACGTCACCAGCAGCAGGAGGTCCCCGTCCCACCACCAGAACGTACAGCCCCACGTCGTCACCACCTGCAGGACCTCCATGAACCCACCTGTTGGAAAAAGTGGTCATCGTGCATTAGCGTAATTGCCTTTCCGCCGGAATACTTATGCTTCCTCGCCTGGATTTAGTAATAGTGTTAAGAGGGAAGTGAAAAATATATATATATATACTCTTTATCGACAGAATTGAATTTGTTCGTAAATCCTTTGGGTATATTTAGTAGTAGTAGCAGGCATCCGTCGGTCTCAGGAGACTATGGTGCTGCGCTCTGGTTGTCGGATAAACACACGTTAACAACTCGGTATTGAGTTGTTAATGTGTGTGTGTGTGTGTGTGTGTGTTATACTAGCGCTTAGGCAGACACTCCTTGAACCCTTCACTCCTGGGGTATAGTACTTGCCCTGTTACTTGAGCGGTCAGAGTGGCAAGGTCGAGGTCTCATTCCTCACTTCAGTGGATAAACTCTCTCACACACACACACACACACACACACACACACACACACACACACACACACACACACACACACACACACACACACACACACACACACACACACACACACACACACACACACACAGACACACACACAGACACACACACATACACACACATACACACACACACACACACACACACACACACACACACACACACACACACACACACAGACACACACACACACACACACACACACACACACACACACACACACACACACACACACACACACACACACACACACACACACACACACACACACGATCGGAACTTCATCTTACTGCTGTTGATGATGCTGTTGTGGCGTGTGATGATGATGCTGTTATATTTTGTTCTTCAGCAATGGTTATCGCAATATTAGTTATGGAACAGCACCTTTAACCAGAGGAATGGCATGGAGAAGGGGGGGGGGAGGGATGGGAAGGTGCAGTGATTTACCTGTTAGGAAGTCATCAATTCAAGATAATTTAGGGATCTAGATGGAGACTGAAATATAAGGAAAATGATTTATGCTAATCTTGCATGTCGACCTGAGGCGGTTTGTTGTGACTTGAGAATACGAGTGTGTGTGTACATGATGCTGATAGGTTCAGGAAGAAGATAGTGACCATTTGTCTGCTCCTGATGGTGTTTGTAGTCTTCTACACACACACCAAGTAGTTATAATGACTACTATTATATCACTTTCTCATTGCTCCTGTTTTGTAACTATTGCCTTAAAGCAATGGTGCTTTAGATTAAAAAAGATTGTTCAGGAGGTAAATTACTTAAAATAGTGTGGCTAAAACTCGCGACGTCAAAGGGTATTTTGAACGAGAAAAGTTTGCTAAACTCTTGCATTATGTATAGGACTTCAACTGATCATGTTGACAGTAATGGAGAGGCATTACCCTGGTATTTCAGTTCAGTGAGCTTTTAACAAGCTCATTAGTCTTAAGTACGATAAATATATTCATTGGTTTAGCATTAATGAATGACACTCGGCCTTTCATCTGAACAGACACTCAACCGACAAATTTGAAAATAGAAAATTTGACGACATTTCGGTCCGTCTTGGATTATCAATTCGTGATTCGGTCCGTCCTGGATTATCAAGTCGTGATTCGGTCCGTGCAGGATTATCAAGTCGTGATTCGGTCCGTCCTGGATTATCAAGTCGTGATTCGGTCCGTGCAGGATTATCAAGTCGTGATTCGGTCCGTCCTAGATTATCAAGTCGTGATTCGGTCCGTCCTGGATTATCAAGTCGTGATAATGGTCCGTCCTGGATTATCAAGTCGTGATAATGGTCCGCGATGGACCGAAACGTCGTCAATTATTTCATTTTCAGACTTGTGGATTGGGGTGTGTAACTTTCATCCTGTAATGGCAGTTTTATGTCCTAAAGGTCGTAAGCTCCATCATTCCGAATTCTGGCCTGATCACAAACAATTCCTGATCATGATAGCGGAGTTGATAAACTGTGGTCATAAATCTTGGCCGCTGTAGAAAAGAAAACGAGAAAGAAGAAGAAGAAAGATGATATCAAAGAAAACCAGAGAGAATAAGAACGGTCTCCTGCCACTAGCAAGACCTCATTCATCTGTTCGATACGTCCGACAGTCATCCACACACCCGGCCTCGTACCCCCGGCCCTCGTACCCCCGGCCCTCGTACCCCCGGCCCTCGTACCCCCGGCCCTCGTACCCCCCGGCCCTCGTAACCCCCGGCGCTCGTACCCCCGGCCCTCGTACCCCCGGCCCTCGTACCCCCGGCCCTCGTACCCCCGGCCCTCGTACCCCCCGGCCCTCGTAACCCCCGGCCCTCGTACCCCCGGCGCTCGTACCCCCGGCCCTCGTACCCCCGGCCCTCGTACCCCCAGCCCTCGTACCCCCGGCCCTCGTACCCCCGGCCCTCGTACCCCCGGCCCTCGTACCCTAACCGGGGAGGAAAGATGCGGGGGTTATGAGGAAACAATGAAATTATACTTCTTTTAAGATATGGTTACCTCCAACGAGGACCCTACCGCCACCACCACACTACACACACACACAGCCCTTACTTTATTACTGATTAAGCACGCTTCTAGCTACTACACTGATCACCAACACCACTAATCACAACACTGATAGCTAGCTCACTCCACTAACAGCAACACTCATAGCTAGCTCACTCCACTAACAGCAACACTGATAGCTCACTCCACTAACAGCAACACTGATAGCTCACTCCACTAACAGCAACACTGATAGCTCACTCCACTAACAGCAACACTGATAGCTCACTCCACTAACAGCAACACTGATAGCTCACTCCACTAACAGCAACACTGATAGCTCACTCCACTAACAGCAACACTGATAGCTCACTCCACTAACAGCAACACTGATAGCTCACTCCACTAACAGCAACACTGATAGCTCACTCCACTAACAGCAACACTGATAGCTCACTCCACTGACCACAAAGAGGGATTATATGTAGCAAAGTCAGTGGGGACCAGACTTAATCTCAGTATTGTTATCTTGAGGTTATCTGGAGATGGTTTCGGGGGCTTAGCGTCCCCGCGGCCCGGTCCTCGACCAGGCCTCCTTTTTGTTACACACCTCCAGGAAGCAGCCCGTAGCAGCTGTCTATCTCCCAGATACCTATTTACTGCTAGGGTGAAAGAAACTCTGCCCATTTGTTTCCGCCTCCAGCAGGGATCGAACCCGAAACCTCAGGACTACGAATTCAAGCATTCTCCACTCAGCCGTCAAGCCCCTGCTGAGGGAGGCTGCAGAAGTACTTTGTCGCCCATTATAAATAATTTATAATAAAGCGCTTGGGACAGGAAAGCTCCAAGACACCTAGAAAAAAAAGGAAAATGAAGTCCCAACATTCAAAAAAACGTGGGATAGAAAAGAATCGCTAAATTACAGATTAGTTCGTGTCATTGACAAGTGTTCCGTGTAAAGTGCTGGAAAACCTAATGGGTCGAGAATGGGGAAGTATCTGAACGGAGGCAAAAGGTCAGTATGGATTAAGAGAAGGAAAGTCATGCCTGACAAACTCCACCTGAGGTCTATGTTACGGCTACCAAAATATGACAGGAAAAAAAAAAAAAAAGAGTGCTGGGAAGAGTATTTTCCTAGCTCGTCAAAAAGCATATGCCACTGTTCTTCACGAAAAACTGGTGAACGAGATGGAGAAACAGGCTGAGATAACTGGGACAACACAGAACTCTTTAAGGTAGTACCTGAAGGACAGAAAGCGAAGAGTCACAGTCACAGAGGAGGTTTCAAACTGGAGGAATGTAACAAGTTGGGTCCACACAAGGCTCTCTCCTGGCAGCGAGCCTTGTGGGGCCTAATTTGCTGTTCCTAATTGATGTGAACGACGTACCCGAGGGAGTGAGCCCCGTACATGTCAATGACTGTTAGCAGATCCCGGAAAGCTCACGAGGAATGTAAAAACAGAGGAGAACTGCAGGAAGATCCTGCTGTAAAAACAGAGGAGAACTGCAGGAAGATCCTGCTGTAAAAACAGAGGAGAACTGCAGGAAGATCCTGCTGTAAAAACAGAGGAGAACTGCAGGAAGATCCTGCTGTAAAAACAGAGGAGAACTGCAGGAAGATCCTGCTGTAAAAACAGAGGAAGACTGCAGGAAGATCCTGCTGTAAAAACAGAGGAAGACTGCAGGAAGATCCTCTTGTGAAAACCGGAAGACCTGGACAACCTCCAATAGTGGTCAAAGTTATGGTTGGTGACATTCAATTCGCGTGACCAACCATACAACACAATTCGCGTGACCAACCATACAACACAATTCGCGTGACCAACCATACAACACAATTCGCGTGACCAACCATACAACACAATTCACGTGACCAACCATACAACACAATTCACGTGACCAACCATACAACACAATTCACGTGACCAACCATACAAAACAATCACGTGACCAACCATACAAATCCCACACTTCCTTACCCATCCCGCTAGTAAGTACAACCTGCGTTGCTGACCATTAATACGTCGTTAGTATAACTAAGTATCTTTACTAACCCCATGACAGCTCACCCCGTCAAGCACGTATGTTCCCCGGATGCTCACACGAAATCACGTGTACCGGAACTACCACTACTGTTGCTACTATTACTACAACTACTCGGGATGTCATTCACACTACTCCCGCAACAGTAACCTGGTCCTTCACTGCTCGCGCACCAGCAGCATTGCTCATCTTCCCAGGAGTTGGTAACTGTAGCTTCTTTCAGTCTCATTATCCTGTTTGTGACTGAGATTCTCTTCTCATGCTAATGGCGTTCCAGGGAGAGCTAGTTCCTCGTCATGGTCACTGTAATGATTCCAGGACAGGCTAACTATCAGGCCCCTAGTGTGATTCCAGGACAGGTTAACTATCAGGCCCCTAGCGTGATTCCAGGACAGGTTAACTATCAGGCCCCTAGTGTGATTCCAGGACAGGTTAACTATCAGGCCCCTAGTGTGATTCCAGGACAGGTTAACTATCAGGCCCCTAGTGTGATTCCAGGACAGGTTAACTATCAGGCCCCTAGTGTAATTCTACGACCAGGTAAACTCCTCTATCAGGCTACTGTTATTATTCCTAGGCCAGCTAACTCGTCTATCACACCACTATTATGTTTACAAGACCAACTAACTCCTCTTTCAGATTACTATCATGATTTCAGGGCAAGCTGGCTCCTTCAGGTCAATTATATTCCAAGGCGCAAAAAATAAAAAACATTCTCAAAGTACTCTATATTGTGGAAATGTCCCTAGTGGCCTCTGAAATCGCGGCAGTTTTCAGAAAATGTCTTGGAAAATGATGAGAGAATCTTGAGTTTCCCAAGAAATAGTCCAGTGATGTTGTCCGGCTTGACCAGTATTTTCTCAGCGGTTGGTTGCAACAAGAGTTGTTGACTTGGGAGTTTGTTGAGTAAATACGGACCTCAAGATGTCCGTGTTTAACAGAATTAAGAAGTTGAACGTACCATCTTGACCGCGTAAAATGTTATTGAATATATCTTGTTCTGTACTACTGAAACACTTGTTCACTAAGAATTGTAATGTATAATTGCCTTGTAAAAACTTATGTATATGTAATTTATATTGTATTTTCTTAAATAAAGATAAAAAAAAAATATTGCAGTAAAAAATTGCTAAATGTGGGGATGGATTTTAATACGTATTGACAAAAAAAAAGCCTCGAGGGAGATACTAATGTAAAGTTGTATCACCTTCACTTAATGGAGGTGATGGGGAGCGGGGGCCTGATGGTGATGATGGGGTGATGATGGGGTAATGATATAGGAGGAGGGGATGATGGTGGAGATGTAGGCGAGGTAGTGGAGGAGTAGATGGGGTGATAGTGGAAGTGGGGTGGTGGGGTTGTGAAGGTGGTGTGGTGAGGTGTTCGGGTGAGGTGGTGTGGTGAGGTGTTCGGGTGAGGTGGTGTGGTGAGGTGTTCGGGTGAGATGGTGTGGTGAGGTGTTCGGGTGAGGTGGTGTGGTGAGGTGTTCGGGTGAGGTGTTGCTGGGATTGGCATGAATTTAATAAGACATTGATACATTGATTGATCACAGTAGCTGTTACGTCGCAAGCTTTTATAATATTCGTGTCAACAGACAACAAGTGCACTCTTCCTGATCGTGTTTACGAAAACGATTAAAAACTAAATCTGTTTCTGGGAGTGGTAATGCGGACGCTGTCCTTCAAGCGGACATGGCAGGGGTACCTTACCTAAAAATATTTTAAACATCTCTTACATTCATCCATATATAAAGGAATGAGTTTCACGTTCCACATTTTAGCTTAGCGGTCATTCGCTATAGGAGGCGCCCGTCCTCCTTCCTCCTCCAGGAAGCCGGAACAAAAACATTGAGATAATAGATCTTAACATTTGGATTTCATTTGGTACTGAACAGGAATCGGCAGAGGTGACACACTGATATATGAGAGTGCTGATAGGAGACGGTTGAGGTAGCTGTGAGAGTGGTGGTGGTGGTGGTGGTAGGAGGAGACGGTTCTGGTGGTGGTGGGAGAAGGAGATTGTGGTAAATGCGCCGGTAACTAAGGGAGGTGTGGGTCCAGCTCTTCATGCATCCTCTGCTAGTGTTGTAGCATTTCCTGCTGTAAAAACAGAGGAAGACTGCAGGAAGATCCTGCTGTAAAAACAGAGGAGAACTGCAGGAAGATCCTGCTGTAAAAACAGGAAGACTGCAGGAAGATCCTCTTGTGAAAACCGGAAGACCTGGACAACCTCCAATAGTGGTCAAAGTTATGGTTGGTGACATTCAATTCACGTGACCAACCATACAACACAATTCACGTGACCAACCATACAACACAATTCGCGTGACCAACCAATCAAATCCCACACTTCCTTACCCATCCCGCTAGTAAGTACAACCTGCGTTGCTGACCATTAATACGTCGTTAGTATAACTAAGTATCTTTACTAACCCCATGACAGCTCACCCCGTCAAGCACGTATGTTCCCCGGATGCTCACAGGAAATCACGTGTACCGGAACTACCACTACTGTTGCTACTATTACTACAACTACTCGGGATGTCATTCACACTACTCCCGCAACAGTAACCTGGTCCTTCACTGCTCGCGCACCAGCAGCATTGCTCATCTTCCCAGGAGTTGGTAACTGTAGCTTCTTTCAGTCTCATTATCCTGTTTGTGATTGAGATTCTCTTCTCATGCTAATGGCGTTCCAGGGAGAGCTAGTTCCTCGTCATGGTCACTGTAATGATTCCAGGACAGGCTAACTATCAGGCCCCTAGTGTGATTCCAGGGCAGGTTAACTTTATCAGGCCCCTAGTGTGATTCCAGGACAGGTTAACTATCAGGCCCCTAGTGTGATTCTACGACCAGGTAAACTCCTCTATCAGGCTACTGTTATTATTCCTAGGCCAGCTAACTCGTCTATCACACCACCATTATGTTTACAAGACCAGCTAACTCCTCTTTCAGATTACTCTCATGATTTCAGGGCAAGCTGGCTCCTTCAGGTCAATTATATTCCAAGGCGCAAAAAAAAAAAAAAACATTCTCAAAGTACTCTATATTGTGGAAATGTCCCTAGTGGCCTCTGAAATCGCGGCAGTTTTCAGAAAATGTCTTGGAAAATGATGAGAGAATCTTGAGTTTCCCAAGAAATAGTCCAGTGATGTTGTCCGGCTTGACCAGTATTTTCTCAGCGGTTGGTTGCAACAAGAGTTGTTGACTTGGGAGTTTGTTGAGTAAATACGGACCTCAAGATGTCCGTGTTTAACAGAATTAAGAAGTTGAACGTACCATCTTGACCGCGTAAAATGTTATTGAATATATCTTGTTCTGTACTACTGAAACACTTGTTCACTAAGAATTGTAATGTATAATTGCCTTGTAAAAACTTATGTATATGTAATTTATATTGTATTTTCTTAAATAAAGATAAAAAAACAAATATTGCAGTAAAAAATTGCTAAATGTGGGGATGGATTTTAATACGTATTGACAAAAAAAAAGCCTCGAGGGAGATACTAATGTATAGTTGTATCACCTTCACTTAATGGAGGTGATGGGGAGCGGGGGCCTGATGGTGAAGTTTGGGTGATGATGGGGTAATGATATAGGAGGAGGGGGTGATGGTGGAGATGTAGGCGAGGTAGTGGAGGAGTAGATGGGGTGATAGTGGAAGTGGGGTGGTGGGGTTGTGAAGGTGGTGTGGTGAGGTGTTCGGGTGAGGTGGTGTGGTGAGGTGGTGTGGTGAGGTGTTCGGGTGAGGTGGTGTGGTGAGGTGTTCGGGTGAGGTGGTGAGGTGAGGTGTTCGGGTGAGGTGGTGTGGTGAGGTGTTCGGGTGAGGTGGTGAGGTGAGGTGTTCGGGTGAGGTGTTGCTGGGATTGGCATGAATTTAATAAGACATTGATACATTGATTGATCACAGTAGCTGTTACGTCGCAAGCTTTTATAATATTCGTGTCAACAGACAACAAGTGCACTCTTCCTGATCGTGTTTACGAAAACGATTAAAAACTAAATCTGTTTCTGGGAGTGGTAATGCGGACGCTGTCCTTCAAGCGGACATGGCAGGGGTACCTTACCTAAAAATATTTTAAACATCTCTTACATTCATCCATATATAAAGGAATGAGTTTCACGTTCCACATTTTAGCTTAGCGGTCATTCGCTATAGGAGGCGCCCGTCCTCCTTCCTCCTCCAGGAAGCCGGAACAAAAACATTGAGATAATAGATCTTAACATTTGGATTTCATTTGGTACTGAACAGGAATCGGCAGAGGTGACACACTGATATATGAGAGTGCTGATAGGAGACGGTTGAGGTAGCTGTGAGAGTGGTGGTGGTGGTGGTGGTAGGAGGAGACGGTTCTGGTGGTGGTGGGAGAAGGAGATTGTGGTAAATGCGCCGGTAACTAAGGGAGGTGTGGGTCCAGCTCTTCATGCATCCTCTGCTAGTGTTGTAGCATTTCCTGAGATGTTGTGTGGACTCTTCTGGTGATGGTTTTGTCTGGCCTAGAAGTTGTGGGGGAGGTGGTAGTGGTGTTGAGAGGTGATGGCAGATGTTGATGTGATGGTAGAGGAGGGGTGTATTGGGAGGGGTGAGGGAGGGGTGTATTGTGGTGGTCCATAGACCTATGCACTCAACTGTATGTGATTGGCCACTTACTTTAACGTTTGCATGTGTATGTGTGCGCGTCTGTGTGTTTGTGTGTATTTGTCTGCGTGTGTGCATTCACGCTCCCTGCCCACAGGTAATGAGTGCGTGAGCCAGTGAAGAGGGCAGGATGGTAAAAAAAGACATGAATATTGCGTTCGTTCTGAGGCCCCGTCAGCTAGGGTGAAGACTGAAGGATGTTCCGAGTAGTGTGAAGGGTGCTGTGTGTGTGTGGGGGGGGGGGACCTCTTGGAGGGTGTAGCATCGAGAATGTAATGTAGAACGTCCTGGAGGGAGTGTAGTATGTAGCGGGTGTGTAGTGTGAGGCATGGTGGAGGGTGTAGCGTTGGAGAGCAGGTGTGTAGAGCCTCGTTATCAGGAAGCGGCCAGGTGGAAGCCGGCGTGTTTGACCAGAGCCTGCAGGAGCACCCCTCAGAGACCTTCCCTCTCACCCACGATGGGTCGTCACCAGTCATATCTCGTCCACACCTCCGCCTCCCCTCTCGCACCCCTCTCCTGCTGCCCCTCTCTCTCTCTCTCTCCTCTCTCGTCTCTCTCACTCTCTATAACGTGAGGTCGCCTCTCCCCTCACCACAGGTCACTCGAGCTCCTCCTCGCTCGCATCCGTTATAGTTACTGTGTGTGATGGAAGCATCGCGCCTTTACCAGCACACACACACACACAGGGGCCTCACGGCTGAGTGGACAGCGCTCGGGGGTCGTAGTTCTAATGACCCGGGTTCGATTCCCGACTGAGGCGGAAACAAATGGGCAGAGCTTTTCACCCTGATGCCTCTGTTTTACCTAGTAGTAAATACGTACTTGGGAGTTAGACAACTGCTACGGGCTGCTTCCTGTGTGTGTGTGTGTTTGTGAAAAAAATGTTGATTGACAGTTGAGAGGCGGGCCCAAAGAGCCAGAGCACAACCCCCCGCAATACAACTAAGTGAGTACAACTATGTGAACACACACACACACACACACACACACACACACACACACACCCGTCTCCAAGCTAAGCTCCACAATCAAACAAATGTACCCAGAGATCTCTTAATATTTCTCATACAGTACAATAAGGAACTTTTAATATCTCAAAACGTCACACTAAGCTGGGTGTTGTGGTTCCTGTCGTTATTTGTACATTAATTGCATTTGTGAAAGATTTATAAAAAATAAAGAATAAAGAGAATTAAGCATTTTCAGATATCCACAAGTGATTCCACCCAGAGTTCACGTGTAATGACCAAGGCGACCAAGTGAAACCTGTACATCTTAGAATCCCGACCTAATCTGATAACAAATGAAACAAAATAACTCAGATTCCATTTAAAACAATACAAATTATTCAAGAAATGACTTGCGCGTTGATTAACCTTGCTTTAAATGGCATACAAGTTAATTATAAACAGCTTGTTTTAAACCATTGTTTGAAAACAGTTTGAGATCAGTAACTCACCAAAAGGATCAGGATCCGATCCTGAAACCGACCCATTTACCCGGTTATTAAGCTCCATTTATTGAGAAGAATTACGAGATGCCATTGAGGGTGTTTCATCAATTTTGTGTCAACACCTTCTAATGGATGATTTCTTGCATGCAGTTATGAATATCTGATAAGAAACCATTACTGTAGATCGTTCGGCTGATGTGTTATTGCTTTGTTTTGCAGACTGCGTGGGTGTGGTCGCTGGGTTGGAACCTGGAGAAGTACGTCACCTTTGTTCCGGCCACCGTCACCTCCTGCAGCCACAGCTAACGTCGAAGGCACAGCAGGAACGCCAAGCTCCAAAACGGCACCTTTCACTAATTGGAAAAATGACCACAACGCACCAGGAACACACACAGCATGTGACTTCACCACAGCAACCACGACAAGTGCCCCCACCACAGCAACCACAACAAGTGCCCCCACCACAGCAACCACAACAAGTGCCCCCACCACAGCAACCACAACAAGTGCCCCCACCACAGCAACCACAACAAGTGCCCCCACCACAGCAACCACAACAAGTGCCCCCACCACAGCAACCACAACAAGTGCCCCCACCACAGCAACCACAGCAAGTGCCCCCACCACAGCAAGTGCCCCCAACACAGCAACCACAGCAAGTGCCCCCAACACAGCAACCTCAGCATCGTCACCCACGCCGACAGCTTCACCAGGGCTCACGGTAAGTCCCAGACACAATTAACATCAGCATCTTCCCACTTAATGGAGATAAACATGCCAGAGCTCGCCTATTTACCAGCTTACCTGTTGATAACGCACCATCCTTGCTGTGACCCGCTTAATGTCACCTTCGTTACCTACACCTGCATGAGGGTAGTCCTGGTGTTGCACTCTTCATGGAATTATCGTAAATTCTGCATTTGCATCCTCGAGGGTCTCCAACCTCTATCATATCACTGTTTACAATCTCTGCTTCATGGTCTGAAAAATTGCGTTTCCCGTGGCGACTGTGACGTCTCCCGTTTGGACTTTGACGTCTCTCGGACTGTGACGTCTCTCGTGTCGACTGTGATGTCCCCCCGTGGCGGCTGTGATGTCCCCCGTGTCAACGTTTGTGGTCCTATTTTATCATTGTCTGCTGTGCCTGTACCCACTAATCATGACAGTACAGAAATAAACGCAGTAGCACGTGGTCGGTGTTGATTCGTGGGGTAGGGATGAGGGGAAAGGAGAGGCGGGGTAGCTGCATTCGTGCGTATATACGCAGCGTAGACGTGGCGAACCACTAACAGGCTCGCTAACAAAGCCATATCACCAATCACTCGGGCCGTAGCCTCCGGCCGCAGTCAACCACAACCAACATGAATGTTTTTTTTTTCAAGCCGAGGATTTCCGCTTGCAGGGCAAAATCAATGGCAATCAATGTTGTGTAAAAACTTGACGAGGCGGCTCAGACTTTTGTTGCTCCCTCTGACAAATAACTATCACAAATCCCCCTACAGAGCCAGACCCGCCTACCTTGATATACATATATACTCGCACACACTATTCCATATTTATACACACATCTAGTATATATATATATAAATATATATATATTATATATTATATATATATATATGTCGTACCTAGTAGCCAGAACGCACTTCTCTGCCTACAATGCAAGGCCCGATTTGCCTAATAAGCCAAGTTTTCATGAATTAATTGTTTTTCGACTACCTAACCTACCTAACCTAACCTAACTTTTTTGGCTACCTAACCTAACCTAACCTATAAAGATAGGTTAGGTTAGGTAGGGTTGGTTAGGTTCTATATATATCTACGTTAATTTTAACTCCAATAAAAAAAAAATTGACATCTTACATAATGAAATGGGTTGCTTTATCATTTCATAAGAAAAAAATTAGAGAAAATATATTAATTCATGAAAACTTGGCTTATTAGGCAAATCGGGCCTTGCATTGTAGGCTGAAAAGTGAGTTCTGGCTACTAGGTACGACATATATATATATATATATATATATATATATATATATATATATATATATTATTATTAAATATGACCGAAAAAGTAAGATTAATAATTCTAACACGAATTTTGTCGATCTTTCGTACGTTTCTTTTCACTGTTGGAGGTAATTTAAAAATCAATTCTCCAAAATTCATTTTTATTTCTAGTCTGACGCGACACTTGAGCGCGTTTCGTAAAACTTATTACATTTTCAAAGACTTTAGCTTACACATACACAACTGAATAGAACTTACACATCTTCGATTTGTTTATATCTACATTTGAGTGAGGTGGATGGGGTGAGGTGGTATTAATAGGGTATTAAATTCCTAAACACAAGACAGAACACGAATGGGTATTGAATGGAAGTGATTTGTAGAAAGCTTATTGGTCCATATTTCTTTATGCTTCTATATTGGAGCGGAGTCTTGAGGTGGGTAGAATATAGTTGTGCATTAATTGGCTGTTGATTGCTGGTGTTGACTTCTTGATGTGTAGAGCCTCGCAGACGTCAAGCCGCCTGCTATCGCTGTATCTATCGATGATTTCTGTGTTGTTTACTAGGATTTCTCTGGCGATGGTTTGGTTGTGGGAAGAGATTATATGTTCCTTAATGGAGCCCTGTTGCTTATGCATCGTTAAACGCCTAGAAAGAGATGTTGTTGTCTTGCCTATATACTGTTTTTTTTGGAGCTTACAGTCCCCAAGAGGGCATTTGAAGGCATAGACGACGTTGGTCTCTTTTAAAGCGTTCTGCTTTGTGTCTGGAGAGTTTCTCATGAGTAGGCTGGCCGTTTTTCTGGTCCTCCATTTGGTCACCATTTGGTCCGGGAGACATCTCCCGTCACGCAGGGTGCAGTTGCGCCTCCACAGATCTCCAGTATCATTTTTTGATACTGGTAATGGCTGAAAAGGGCCACCACTTACGGGCTATTCATGCCCGTGCCACCTCTTGGGTGGCTTAATCTTCATCAATCAATCAATCAATCAGTGTAAGTTCTATTCAGTTGTGTATGTGTAAGCTAAAGTCTTTGAAAATGTAATAAGTTTTACGAAACGCGCTCAAGTGTCGCGTCAGACTAGAAATAAAAATGAATTTTGGAAAATTGATTTTGAATTACCTCCAACAGTGAAAAGAAACGTACGAAAGATGGAAAAAATTCGTGTTAGAATTATTAATCTTACTTTTTCGGTCATATTTAATAATATATATATATATATATATATATATATATATATATATATATATATATATATATATATATATATATATATATATATATTCCAAACCACAATAAACGTGGTAATAACATTTCATTCACTTGCACCATCCAAGCCTCGAACCCACGAACACCGGAGCGCAAGACGGGGGCTCTACCGACCTAGCTACGAATACCCACAATAGGAGACGGTCCCAGTTAGACACCTAACTGATATCTAACTGTTTGCAATGTATGTGACTGGTACGTGGATCGCCTAATACCAATGTACCCAGCGAAGGTCTCTGAGACCCTCTCTTATTGTGGGTATCTGTAGCTAGGTCGGTTGCAGCGCCTCGTACCATACATGCCATGGATGCTCATACTAAGGTATATGGCCTCAAAAGTAATTAAAAGTACCCTATGGAGACTTTAAACCTTCCCTTCTTCTTCTTGTGTGGCAGGAATAAGTGCAGTCCACCCACGTCCCGCTTAACAGCTTCAGCTGGTGTGGCGCTAACATATTTCTGAACATAACATGGGGACTTTTTGTCACCTGACCTGTTTTTCTGACTGCCAGCTGATCCCAACCCGTGGAACTATCAGGCAACTAGACCCAACTGTGGAACTATCTTGAGGTTATCTTGAGATGATTTCGGGGTTTTTAGTGTCCCCGCGGCCCGGTCCTCGACCACCCCCAGGAAGCAGCCCGTGACAGCTGACTAACTCCCCGGTACCTATTATACTGCTAGGTAACAGGGGCATAGGGTGAAAGAAACTCTGCCCATTGTTTCTCGCCGGCGCCTGGGATCGAACTCAGGACCACAGGATCACAAGTCCAGCGTGCTGTCCGCTCTGCCGACCGGCTCCCCTGGTCCCAAGGGGACCCAACCGTGGAACCTCCTTGCGCGAAACGCTATGCGTACTAGTGGCTTTAGGTATTGTATGTACTAGCTCTATCTCTAAATCCACCATTATGTTTGTAAAACAACTATGTATGTACTTTCCTGAATAAAAGTGACTTTACTATTAGCCAGTAGGAACCAACTGCATAACTGACCCACAGCATCACTCCACTTTGGTCCACAATCAGCTGAGAATGAGCTGACCAATGAGGAATGTGCTTGAAGACCAGAGAGACTCCAGCCTTTGGACCAGCCTTGGACCAGGCTTGGACCAAGGCTGAACATGGGTGGAGGCTCCACGTGCAGCAAGTAAGAGGACCCTGACTAGAAGAAGGAGGTGGTGGCAGTGGAGGTAGTAGTGGTGGTGGTGGTGGTGGTGGTGGTAGTGGTGGTGGTGGTGGTGGTGGTAGTGGTGGTGGTAGTGGTGGTGGTGGTAGTAGTGGTGGTGGTGGTAGTAGTGGTGGTGGTGGTGGTGGTGGTGGTGGTGGTGGTGGTAGTGGTGGTGGTGGTAGTGGTGGTGGTGGTAGTAGTGGTGGTGGAGGTGCCACTCTATAATGCGACAATCATTGGAAAAGAATTATGCAAATCTTGACCTGGCGGCCTGACGCAGACGACGTCGTTTTCCCTCAACCTGCCGCGTTGACGGGTTCTGTCTGCTGGTCTCTCACTCTTAGCCTGAGAGACAGAGAGAGAGAGAGAGAGAGACAGACAGAGACAGAGAGACAGAGAGCGAGCTAGAGAGAGACAGAGAGAGAGACAGAGAGAGCGCTAGAGAGAGACAGAGAGAGAGAGAGCTAGAGAGAGAGACTATAGTATGGGACTCAGTTGAATGTGTGAAGTAAAGGAACAATAGGTTCATAACAAAGAAAGTTGCAGGAAAATTGGGGAACAAAGCAGTAAGGTCGAGGATCCCTGCTGGGTGTCTTGTGAAGAATGGCGAGCAGGTGGAGGCACAGCCAATCAGCAGGAGCAGGTGGCGGAGACACCAATCAGCAGGAGCAGATGGGGGGCACAGCCAATCAACAGGAGCAGGTGGGGGAGACAACCAATCAGCAGGATCAGATGGGAGACACAACCAATCATCAGAAGCAGATGGGTGACACAGCCAATCACAGATCTGTTGTCTCCTAGGGGCACTGGCCACTGAGCCCATAGATCTGACGTCTCACCTTTGTGATTTTTCACAGTTTGGCATCTAGCTGCCTTGACGTCCCACGTAGCCTGACCAAGAGTGCCATCACTGCCAAGAGCAGCCTCTGTGCCCCATAAACCGTCCCCAACAGACAGGAAACATGAAGATTGTGCCAATACCTGACCTTGCTAATCAGGCTAATCACTCGGGAGGTCATCAGTGACACCACAATCTCTCATAACACATGATAATGAGCTCATTCCTCCATGTCATTCATTACAGTTCTATTATCTTGGAGATTATCGTTATCAGAAACAAGATCCTTAGGCTTACTTCTCTGTGTCAGACATCCATTTAAAATGTATAATTCCCATTATATTAGATAAAACAATCTCTGAGGCTTTTGTGTTTACAATAGCAAGTAAGTCTTGAGTCTTTATAATAGCAAGTAAGTACTGAGTCTTTACAATAGCA